TGTGTCACCGCACGTTATATTATCAATTTACAAAACAAAGAACAAGTTCTTCAGTTGCAACGAGTAGCGTAGCAACTTCATAGCGTCGTGACATAATATTATATTAACTATAGAAGGTCCTCTTTAAGTCTCTAAAACCAAAGGATACGTCGTACACGTTTTCCGTCGGTACCAGAGGCATCGTAGATTGGTGTCTAAGGCTCTTTCTCATCGTGGACACGCCCCGAGCGAAACAGTTAGCCAATGGGGTGGCTCGAGGTGGGGCTCGTACGCGAAATTAAAATATCCTTCGCTGGTAATCACTCGAGATACGTTGGTAACGATGCACGTGTACCGTACATACGTCCGGGCCAAGCGTAACTTTGTTTGCGATGCTCTGTGTGCGTAAGAAGAGTGGCGTTCGGGGGCCCCCCACCCCTCCCAGCCCCTCGCGGAGGGTGCGGCAACCCTTCGATACACTCGGATCTGCCGGACATATGCTGGAATAGAGAGAAAGAGAGAGAAAGATATGCGCATTGTATTATTCACGGGCCGTCCGTGAGATAACCTTACCCTCTCCATCGCCAATTTTTTTAATACAGACCGACGAGGGTCGAACCACGCTCCTCCGCGTGCTGGCTTCGCCGACATTGTAATGGGATTAGTCGCGTTATTAGGGGTTTAAAATCACGACGATGTTTTCTCTGATCCTTCGCGTGCTCTAATGGCATTACCGGGGCCGCTTAACGCAGAACCCGACTGGTGTTTCTGGAGACAAGTGGTTATGGGCATTATTGGCCACGGGGGTTGCGTTAACCGGACATTCAGGAAAATGTGGATAACGAGCGTGGAATGAGGGATAAGAGGCTGGAACGAGAATTTTAACGGGTTGAGTGTATGGGTGATGGAATGTTTCGTGTTTGGTAGAGAGATGCGAGTATTGATTATTGATAAATTATTATCGATGTCTTATGAACGATATATCGATAATAGCGTTAAGATATCGTTAAGGAGGATAACAGCGACCGAGGTAGAATGTAAGGTGTCAATTGTAACAAAAAATAAAATATTATCTAATTCTCATTCTTACATGGTAGTGTTCAAATGCTGGCTTTTAGGTTGTCGGTAGACTGCGGATGTTTACGCAATTATTGCGTAAACATCCACAATCGACCGACAACCTGAAAGCCAGCAATTCTATGATTAATTTCGTTCATAATACACAAATTAAGGTAATAACGATAGACGTATTCATTACGAAACACAACTCGCGCGAGACGCGTGGCAGGTGCAAGGGGGACTGGCACCCATTTACACGAGAATATAACATGGTACGACGAAGTGGTGACCGGTAGACAATAGTGATACTGGCCATCCAAAACTGTGTTTTAAGTTAAATATTAATTTTCCGGTTCGCGAGCACCGTGCCCCTTTATGACACGCTCGATAAACCGGCCTGCGAATAATCAAGACATTAGGAACAACTTACGACCGTGTTTTGGCTTGCGCTAACCACTGAGTATTAACCGTTACCATTTACCGGAATAAACGTTGTTTCACGTTGCACTGCTCAACAAGCTAATTATTAACACTATACCTACCGACAATTTATACGTACGTTTTTCTACTGAACCGATCAAATGATCGGTTATTAAATAAAAGTTATATGTTTTACTATTGAATACAGGCAATAGTCAATTTAGTACAAGCAATGATAAATAAAATAATAATTTAATATTAAACTTAAATAATGACTTACAATTAGCCACTTTTGACCGAAGTCATGTAATACTCAGGTTACCTTTCATGCTTCCGATCAAACACCCTCCAGTCAAATATCTCTTGTCCCACAACTGCATCAATTGCTGCACATTTTCACATGGATAATGAACAATTATAGTTGTATAGTTTTAGAATTGATACTTCAAAACAGATAACATTATAAAGGGACATAAATTTTTCAATCAGAATTTTTAATCAAAATTTAAAAACGCTTATTTGACCGGCTGTGGTAGCTTTAGTGTTACAGTTTTAGTACACATGCAGTTCGCGACAATGAAAATCAATTGCTTTTGTAATTTACGAACCAACAGAAGATTTTTCGTGTTCTTTGTTTTTCTTGAAGGAATTTCATATCCGCGGGTATAGTTATGGAAGCTATGTGTGTCCGACGGATTGTTTGAATTTGTAAGTCCGTGTCTCCACCCTTCGATAACCGAGCCTCCCTCTCTGGCACGCTCGATGCTTTGCATAACAGGGATCGTTAAAATTCTGAGCCGCCCGAAAGTGACACAGATTGTTCGTAATTACGTAATTTTGAGGGGAATCGTACCCTTCGTAGTATGTAGGCACTTTCACTCTCAAATTGTGTCGTTGCTATTCCTTCAATTAATCTTGATTTAACAAGGGATCTTCGCGAAGTGATATAAGCTAATTTTATTGTAACTTTGCTCAATTGTTCATGGAACCAACCTAAGAATTTCGCTGTATTGGTTGGTGGTTCTTGCAGACTTTAAGGGAGAAACCATTTTTTAAATCTAAAGCGTCTATTTTACTTGTTTGCTTTTAACTTGTAAATTACAAAAGTATCGAAAAATAGTTTAGATAAACTTTATATCGTTTTTAGTTGTTAATAAAAATTTTGTGGAGAGAATTATTTTTTTGAAAATTTGTTCCTACCTATGGATACTTTACCTATAAGGATTGACGATTTTCTTTTAATTGTAAGAACAATTGACTGAACGTGTTTTAATTTACTAGCAATTATAACGAGTAATATATAAATTATATATTACTTTTCACTGCTAGTAATATTAGTAAGTTAATTACTAGTATATTAAACACGTTCAGTAGTTATTACAATCGTAACATTATCATCAATCCTTGTAGCAATTCGAATATTATGATAAATAATTGAATTTCCACATGATTGCTAATTATGGTGTCACAATTTCACGTCATAGTTTCCAGGTTCGTTCTCTTTGTTTTTCATTAACCCCCAATTTCCGTGTCAGAAAATTCAAATTGCTTGTAGACAAGAAAAGACCACATATCTAAAAATATGTGATATTCTTACCCTAATAACAACACAAATTATAAATACGGTCTTTTGTTCTCGATTCACTAATAATCATGATTTATTTACGGTTTAATACTTCTCGTTCATCCTAATTTCATTTCGCTGAAACCCAATTCAAGTTCCATAGTCCGATCATCGAACACGAAACATGGAATAAATTTGATATTCGCGAGCTCCTCGACCTATTCTCATCCTCACCGTCGAATCGATGAATGATTCGATTTGCATTCTTTCTCTTACCCGGTTCATAAGAATCAATGGCAACACCTAAAGAATATTTCAAAACTCTTTTTTCAATGAAAAATTAAATAGTCGGTTACCTGAATTTTTGTTAAAGATAGTCAAGTCGGCACACCGAATAAGTAAGGATTTTATCTTGCTTCACTTCAAGCCATCTTTGAATGGCCATATAAAACGTAGGGATAATACGGTGAATTCACTCCGAATTTACGTTAAAAGCGAACCTGTCGGGTTGGCGTGAAACCGTCCAATTCCACGTCTGGGGCGACTATTAATGACACTTTTCTTAACCGCATTGGATATATACCTGAACCTGAGCCGTCCCCTCCTACCGACTTATCTTGATTGCCCGCACAGATTCTTCAGCACGTTTCAGAAGAATCTGGTCGATTATCGGCGACGACAAAAACGTGTATTACCTTCCGCCGTACCTCGCCCTCCGTGTGGAAAAATGGCTGGATAAAATACCTTTCTGTCTCGTTCGTAGTTATCTTGGAAATTGGGGTTCGTCGACTCGACAGAAGAAATTGGTTGAAGTCACTTCGTGTGTTTCGAAAAAAGTATTTATATTACAAGATGGAGTTGAAATATTAAAAGTAACAGTTACGTAGAATGATAATTTAGAATTTTTAACGTATGCGTTTGTTTCCAAACTTTTAGTATCTTATAATTAGACTATGAAAGCAAAACTGTTTACGATGACACTACTGATATTTCTGCTAGCATAGGAAATAAATACCTTTCCAATATTACTAAATACTTTCCTAACCCCTCTTGCCTAAACATCCACGGTCAATTCGCATCATTATCAATTACCTCAACTATTTATCCCTTGGAAAGACTCCAACCAAAAACTGATCATGCACGCTGCCATCGAGAACGTGTGTCCAAGCACTGAAAACCACCTCGTCTACCCCACAATGGACTTCCGTGTCCTCCGACAATGGCAAACAAACGAAAACGTAAAGCACTCACGGTTTCCTGTGCGTGCGCGCGCGTTCACGCTGCAGCATCCGGGGATCATTTCCGTCGATTTAAAGTCATACTTCAAAATCATCGCGAGGAACGAATTCGTCCGGGGGTATAACGAGTAGATGGTCCGCAGGGGTCGGTCCCGTGGGCCAATAATAGTCTAAAGATGGGTCGTACAGGGGAGGGGGGTGGGGGTAGTAGTATAAAGTTTCCGGACGTATTAGCCACCCGTCGAATTAGCGTTGCGAGAAAATGCCCTGCTCGGTGACGATCCCAGGGGAGGCGAGCCGTCCTGGTCCCCCCTTTGGCTGCGTTTTGGGGTGAGCCGAAAAAAAGGGGGCAGCAAACCTCGATGGAAGGGCGGGGCCCCCGACAAAAGGGGCCCCGGAAGGAACCAACCCCTGGGTGGAGTTAGCACCCCGTATATATTCCTTCGCTGTGGTTCTACGGGGTGCAGAACACGGTGTACCATCGTGTCGTGAACATCCCGTGACTCTGTACCTGCTCAGACCGCTCGACAGAAACCTTTACGGATCGTTCGAGTGTCTCTTAGAAAGTTCGTAGCAGCAACGGAACTGTTCAGCTTAACGTGGTGAAACCTAGTGAATCGATGGGATTCTGTGCACGTCGAAGTTTCAGTGCTCTCAGGATTGTTTAGTGTTTACGAAATCGGTGTGAACCCCGACGAGGACCTTTATATCTACCACGAGAGAAGACAGGGTTAGCTAACATGTCGCGAAGTTTCCTGGTGGACTCGCTGATCGGCAACAATTCGCCACCTTCTTACCCGTTGCCTTATTATGGGAACCAGTTGCCCAGTTATATGTTCAATTTCTTCAATCTGGGACTGGGTTATCAACCGATCAGACCGGTACCAAGGCCGCCCGCCTTGCCTGTCCCGGTTCCAATCAGCCCGCCAGCATTGGGGAGCTTGCCTGTTGTCGGACAGAGCCCTCCGTCGCCTCTGAACACTTCGACGAGCAGATTGTCAGGTAAATATTCTTCTACCCATACATATAACTCCTGACGATTGGTACAAAAATTGTCTATGCATTGCACACTCTATTTGGATTCTCAGACGATTCGAACTAACATTATCGTGCACCCGTCAGATGTTTCAGCCCCGAGCGAGTCACCGTCGCGCAACAGCACCCCAACACCGCCACCAAAGTCCCCAAACTCTATGAACAACAGCTCGAAGAGGATTCGAACCGCGTTCACGAGCACCCAGCTGTTGGAGCTGGAACGCGAGTTCAGCTCGAACATGTATCTATCCCGACTCAGGCGGATCGAGATCGCCACGAATCTGCGGTTGTCCGAGAAACAAGTGAAGATCTGGTTCCAGAACCGTAGGGTGAAGTACAAGAAAGAGGATCTGCCCGCGGGTCAGAGCCAGAAGTGTTGCTGTCTGAGGACCTGTGGGAAGAAGAAGGACGGCTGCGAGGATTCGTCGAACCGGAAGTGCGAACAGGAGGATGAGAGATCACCGAAGAACGAGAAGACAGAGACTGCTGATAAGATCGCGGAGGTTACCTGTCACGAAGAATCCTCGAACCCCATTGCGGATCGGTTCGAGCAATCGATCCCGTTGCACGTAGAGAATTCGCGATTCCATCAAAATATCGAGGAGAAATTAAATCTTCCGAGGGTCAGTCCGGTTTTGGAGCGTCCCGGCTACGAGATAGAGGCGTACAATTTGTCCAGAGGCTTGAAGAGAACGATCGGCGAGCAGCGGGACGAGCCGGACGATAAAAGGAGACGGATCGACGGGTCGGTCGTTTATCAGAACCCAATCCCGGACGCTATCTCTGGTAACGTGTTCAGAAACGTGGGATGCATCAAGCACACCGTGGATAGAATCGTGAATTCGTAGAGAAGAAAATATTGGATCGCGCTACTCGCTGGGAACGGAACCGTATTATTCCTGTCGCGCTTTCTGCTTATCACTGTAAATATATATATTTCCCACGGTCTTTGTAAATATACATATATATTTTCCATGGTTCTTGTAAATATTGTAGATATATTTTTGTACGATTCACGCGAAGGCTGTATATTTTTTAATATAATATTCAGACGAATAAAGTGGTTCATTGAAATTTATCGCTGTACACATGTGCTTTATTTCGGCGAGTTGTCCTTCATCGGTTTTATATACCGGTGCCTTTGTGGAGAGATTTTAATTACAAATTTTCACGAAATATTCTGTACGCGTATTCATTAGGTTATTAAATTGGTGTGTGAATAGTAGAGCGTGTCTGTTAGAAGTTTCTCTGAGAACTTATAATTTGACAGTTTAATGATGGAGCAGCGACGGACTGTTTCGTATATACATTTCTGTGAAATATTAATTAATTCTGGAGTCGACAGGGATCGCGTGGAAAATGATGATTCGTCGAGTCGATAATTATGCGACAACTTAAAATTGGTGAACGCTTTGTTCTAATTTCGAAATATTTTTGCCTGTTATACGTTTGGTGTAGCGACGAAGAAGCTGTACGATTATTGGTTTTTTATAAATATATAGTCACGTATTGCCATCGTATAGCGAAATGTTGTATTGCCTGGTCTGGATTATTTGTATGTAAAAAGTTTGGCGAAAAGGCGACGTTATTTTTATTTAGGTCGAAACCTATCGAGAAATTTATTGGCCGCAAATCTCCACGGAAAAATATCCTTTTGCTCTTCGAGCACGATATTCCGTAAATTCGTCACGGGCAGCGAAAGGGACGTGGGAAGTAAAAAATTTCGAGCGGTTCGTACACGTCGTGCATTTAAATAGTTGTTCCGAAAAATTGGAATTAAAGTGGTCGTGTTGAAAATATGTGAATTTCGGGCGAAATTCGACGTTGATTTCCATGAATAATTTACAGCAAGATTCTATTGACGCGTTTCACTGTCGAATCAGAGCAAGAAAGATGTTCACAGAAAATCAAAAATGTACTAACTTATGGGGTCGGTGAATATACTTATCGTTGTACTTGTACACTTAGGATTGAAATTACCAGATTGCAATTTTGTATGATATACATGTCCCTTTTCCAGTTTTTTTATTTTAATTTTTATTGAAAAATGTTTTAAACATGTGGCTAACGGACGATTATATATATTTAGACAGAGACTTTGATAAGTATTTCAGAATATTCTCAGATTACTTGAGAGCCTAAAACAGTAAAAAAATTAGACTTGGACATAAACGATCCAGTTTGTTTACAGAGGGTTAAACTTCGTAAGTGTTACAAACTTATTATTATATATTGAACACTATTTATTCTTTAAACCTAACAGATCTTTACGATCTTTATTCAACGGAGTGTTTTTCGGTATCTTGTTCCAAGGATTAATTTCCTTAATTTAGATCAAATGCTGTACTCGTATAATAAGGGTCATAAGGTTCATACAATTGGTATATTACACGGTATTCCCCTATATAATTGTGCCATGTGGTTCAAATAACGCGATTATAGGGTAGGGTCATCGGGTGTGGGTGCCTTTCAGAAATGTATCCCACGGCGATGCTTACGCGAGAAGATTAAAGCGCGTGACCGTCAGTAGGCTGACATTTGTTCCTCCACATTTCCTATTACTAATCCGCTATTTAAACAGATCCATGTTCCTCTAAATTATAAATCATTTAAATGGCGCAATTATACGCGGACAGGAACATCGTACAATAATACGAAATCTACAAATATTCTGTCCCTCACTGAAAACACAGGAGTGATTAATCCTATTTCCGCAAGCAAACACAATTCTCATCGCACCGAGTCCTTTTCCAAAGATCAATTTCCCCAATCCAGTTCAAACGAAAAACGGATTAAAGACGAGGACCAGTTGAGAGAAAGAGAGGGGGAATAGAGAGAGTGAATGAAGGACAGGGAGGCTGGAGGATCTCGAAACTTCAGAGTCGTGGTCGCCGGAGTGTAGTCATTGTCCGCGAGAAATCGGCCGTGATGCCGTAAATCCTGGAAATTTGTCAAGAGGGCCCCCACTTTGGGTTAAATTTAAGGTAAAACGTAGTTAATGGTGTTAAGGAGCGGCGCGACAATGCCCCGTAGGCACTCTCGTATCCTCGTCGCACGACAATGGGACACTTGTGTCGCCTTCGTTCGCGCAGCGGGTGAGTGGCGAACGTGAAGACCGGCTGCCTTCTTTTATTTTTTTTTTCCTCACGGTCCCCGTCGTTGTCCGGGCCCATTCACCACCGTGTTCCCGGGGCCCTACGAGTCCGTTCTGCCCCGCTCTCTCATTCATTCGTTCGTCGAGAGCGAGGAATCCTGCCGATGAATGACCGGGTCTCGGCTCCGGGAAAAGTCCGAATCAAAAAATTGTCACCCTCGCGCGAATGGCCCAGCTTCCTTTTCTTGGACGTTCCCAGTTTCGGGGACGACGTGTCTCGCGTCCAAGGGGCCGGTCGGTACTTTTGACGATCGGTTTAAAGGACGTTTAAGCGGTGCCGTAACGTGAACTTCTACTACGAATTTCGCGGTCCTTTAACTACCTGTACATAGCCACTTCAGGCCGCGTTTTGTTGGAGGCCTGATTCGGGAGGGCCCAATCGAATATGCTTCAAAGTATCGTTGCTGCTCGGAATGAATTTTTATTGTCCACTGAAACATTTTAATCTTTAATTTTGTAGAGTACTGGAAGTTTATATGGGGCGTTCGCGAAATTCACGAAGATAATTGAAATTTATTATAGTGTCAAAGTGTCTACGTGATAATGTACACTGATGAGCAAACTCGGCTTCCTCTAGGGGAAAAAGCAAGGTAAGGGTCTCCTACTGGTTGGTAAATTTATTTCAAATACTGAAATAAATGTTAAACCGAATGTTAATTTGACATAAATTTCATTAACTCCGAGATCAAGTGGTTGGAGTTCCTTCCTTTAGTGGAAGTCGAGTTTGCTCGCAAGGGTACCCTAGTATACTGACGAGCGATCTGTTCCCTTGAAAATTAAGGAATTGTAGTTTGTTTAAGAGAACGGTTTAATGAGATGCTCAGAGTTCTACGCTAGTTTTAACCCTTTCGTTACGTTGGGGTTGGCCGCCAGTATGATTCCACTGTATAAAAATTGGAATTTCCAGATTTAATCAATTAAAAATGGCGAACTATCTTTTTTGTCCTTTATTCGTTATTCGAAACACTTTATCCACATAATGGATTTTCTCATCTCTGTCGTACACAGCAGCGAACTCTTGATTGTTTTGTGTATATTCAACGATAACGCTCGTCAGCTGCGTGTGACATGCATTGCACGATGCCTGTTTCACGTGTAATAATGCACGGAAGGGCACGCTTTTCTCTCAGCGGCTTTCAATTACTTTCGAGCACAAAGGAGGTCGTCTTATCTGGCACGAAACTGGCTAATGAAAGAGCATTCCGCGATGTCGTAATTACGTTATCGTTACAACGTCTAGTGAACTTTCGCCTCTGGTCTCGACTCGTTTGTCGAAAACAGTAGATATTCCCCCAGAGACAAATAATCAGTCTATTTCGACGACGTTGCTTTCACGGCACGCTCGTACACGTCGCGGTCGACTGAAGTAAACGTCGACAATAATTTCTACGTATTAGGACAGAAATATTCCCTGAAGCTTGTTGTGTCACTCTTACGTCACGTCCAGATGTAGGTGTCTTGAATTTCAATGCAATTTGTGTCGTAATTAAGTCAATAGACGATGCAAAATTCAGAGACAAAAAGACCGCCGGCTGAGGATATTGTCGGATTCACTTGTTTTATTCAAAGCAGGTCGATACAGTAAATTAAATTCGTGTCCGTATCTTCATTTAAGTCAGAACCATACAAAGTATGTAGTAATGAAGTAAACTAATAACAACAGTAATTGAGTAATCAAATCACTAGGATAGTAATTTAATTAAAATTTCCTATAATTTAACGAATTTCTATAGCAATTATCAATTCCTCTACGATCTATGAATATACAAATATTTTTATAAACACCAATGCTCAGCCACGTCACGTTTCGCCGTCGGAGAAAATAATTCAGAAATCGCAAGAGAAGCTAAACCTGATACCAACCTCCACTTACCAATTCACTTTAGAAAACTAGAACAAAAAAACATTTCAAAGGTGCATAAGCGCAGAATGAGATTATATTTAATGTTGCTAAGATAAATGATTTATACATAAATTCTCTGAACTTTTTGTTCAGACCTTGTATTTCTAGTCCATCAACGAAGTGAATCAAACATGTCATAAAACATCCTGTAAAACTCACACTTCCTCTTCATCCCGAATGCAAACGCTCTCTCACACTTTCCAGCAGTATATCTCACGAAACCCACGGTGCACTATACATTCGTCTGAATGATTAGAATCCCGAATTCCGGTCTAACTCCTACCCGTACGGTTATAGCGTGCCGTAAATTCTGTATCGACCTAAATGATCCTGCGAACGCGTGCACGGCGGGGTCCGGCGGTAGGTACCTAGCCCGCTGCAATTCAATTTTCCGGGTTCTCGCGTGCTCAGCCTCGTCACGCCTCGGATTCAATCCGTTTCCCGGGGACCGCGAGCGATATGCAGATACGGGGAGCCGGCTCCTTTACAAATCTATTAACATCCGGTCCGTTTCAGGAGGTTCACCGAAACCACCCACGAATTGCCATGATCCCGGCTAACGAGCAGCCAGATAATTAGGTACGTTTCGAGTTCGCGTAAACAGGAAGGTTCGTTTGCCGGACGCGAAACAATCTCTTGGGTGGCCAACAAAATTTAAATAAAAAACCTCCGAAAAATGTCTATATTTTTTCCTTTCATAAATTGACTCCTGCTCGTGTGATTCCGTTTGGAATTGTTAACTTACTCAGCGTTTATAGTTTATACACTGCGTGACATAAATCTAAAACCAC